TGCTGATACCCACTTGTAATTTTTACTTCTGGTGTGTTTTGGAATATAAGTCTACTTGGGCACCCTTTAGAAAAATAAACCTGGTTATACCCTTCAATTAATAGCAGTGATTAGGAAACTCTAAATTCTTGCAGAAGAAATAATCAATGAGACTTTTCATATGGTGCTAGTGAAAACTTTGGAAGCTGATTACTGGCCAACATTATGTGATTGTTTCTCATTTATTTCTTCTGGAGTCTGTGGTAATATGTTGGAGCAAATCAGAAGTTTGGGACAGAGCATACTATGTAAACCTCAGTTTCTGGACTCGGGAAGGTCACCTAATTGTTTTTTTCTTAAGGGACATTTCATTTATAATAAACCCAGATACGTGCTTGTTGATTACAGCATCATGATACAATGAAGTATGAAGCAAATATACATAAAAATCATCTATATTTTTGCACTTATTTTCTTTTGCTGTTTTCTAGCCTGCATCTCGGAGGCTCGGATTGTCCTGTGCCAATTGTCACACCACAACCACCACCTTGTGGCGCAGAAACGCTGAAGGTGAACCTGTGTGCAATGCTTGTGGACTCTACATGAAACTCCATGGGGTGCGCCATTTATTCTGCTCATGTGTATATATGTTTGTATCTTGTTTGCACAAGGTGGTTTTAGTTTTAAAGATGTCCAGCAAATGAAAAGGGTATGAAGGGGAAAAACTTGAATTTTTGAAAGACAAAATACATTTGAACTATGCATTTCATTGAATCTAACATGCTATTAATTACCATATAAATGTATGAAGCAAGAATATGTTGTCATTTAAACTTTCTCTCACACACATATTCATTGTAAGGCACATCCCAATTTCAGAGATGTGAAAATGTGGAACATGTGCATTTTAGAACTGATAACCTATGATAGTAAGCCTCTTCTTCCCCTTTTATTATTCATACTCAAGGGAGAATAAGTGAGAAACCAACTAGGAATGCACAATAACTAGTTTATAGTTTAAATTCTAAAAATTCGGAATGCAGTCAAATATTTGTACAAAGGAGCAATACATCTATCTAACAGTTATAGTTAGACACTATACTTCATTTTACAGGATTGCACAAAATATAAACACATCCAACTCATAGAGAAAAATAACCTTGTGTCTGTAGGAGGAAGAGAACAAAATGATGTCTTTGAGATAAAAATATTTATTCAATGGTTTTACTCTACAATTGAAATTATTTGAAACAATAAACATTAAATTGAAGCAATAAATTCTTCCTGACAGAATCATCCCATTTTCTCTGAAGGAATTTCTGTGGTTGATAGGAAAAAGTGTAGGCACTTAATCTATTGAATGTGTATGAAAAAAAATGGGTTGGGTGTTTATTTAGTTTGATTTTTCTTCAACATAATATTTATTAAACCTATGGTCCATATGAAAAAAAAAAAAAAACTTTTAGGTGCCTCGGCCGCTTGCTATGAAAAAGGAGGGAATTCAAACCAGGAAACGAAAACCAAAGAACATAAATAAGTCAAAGGCTTGCTCTGGTAAATGTAATAAAATACTATTTAATTATAAAGTATTTGCCAACTTTAATGATAAGTAGATGTATACTTACAGGGTTAATTTTGATTGTTGCAGGTAATAGCAATAATTCAGTTTCTATGACTCCAACTTCCACCTCCTCTAACTCAGACGATTGCAGCAAAAATACTTCGCCTACAACACAACCAACAGCCTCAGGGGTAAGTGTTACAGTAGTCCAGAAGTAGTAACAGTGAAGAGTGAGCTCTTTCTGAGCTAGTGGGTTGCTCTCCAGTGTATTATCTCAAATTTTATCTTATCTGGTTGGTACAATAATCTAAACCAACATTAGTTTAGTGAGCTGATACCTAAGAATAGTTTTCAGAGGAAATTACATTTGAATGTAAACAAAATGACAAATTTAAGTACCTTACAAACCTCTTAATTAAGATCTGTATCATTTTTTTTATGGTTAAATTCACCTAAATAAAAGCCTGAGTTTTAGTTTGAAGATCTTAAATGGTTTTATTTCCAGGTTTTTATCTGAGTTGTTACATATGTATTTCTAACACAGATCAGAGAAACTACTAGGTTAGTGGTATATCCCAGTGCCGATGACATTTAAAGTTGCTTTTGCTTATCAACTCCAGCTATTTTTCCTTTTCTTTTCTTATTAATCTTCTACCCATAGGAGAGCTCATCATAACATAATCACTGATCTCCTTTACCCAGCTGTCCCCATTTGGGAAGATCTTGCCTTTTTTCTACAGGACCTTAATTGTACCTGTGTTTATTACATTTGAGCACTAGGAGATGGCAGCTGTCTTTGTGAAGATCTTAGGGCTGTCATTGAGACTCAGTTTTCCTTGAGCAAAGAGCATTTTTCCACCCTCGTGTTTCCCAAATTTAACTGGAATGCTCTTAAAAATTACCGGGCCTCATTTCATCTCAGTTAGATACAGGGCAGGGCCATGGGCTGTTGGTTTGACTGAAAAAGTACCAGTGGATTATGCGGAGACTAGTTTAGGACTAAATACCATAATTTAAATCCCTGCTTTCTTAGTGATTGTTTTCTACTTTTAGTTTTGCTTTGGAAGTATTTGAAGTGCTTAAAAACACCAAAGACTGTAGATTCCTAGCCTCCACCCTAGATTTCCTTAGAGTCTGTGGGTGTGGGGCTTGGAAATGTTATAACCAGTGCCCCAGGTGAAATTTACGCCACTGCCCTGAAGCTGCCTGTGAGCTAGGATTTGGGAACCACAGTCCTGGTATTTTTATTGGTTTGAATAAACAACAACAAAAAAATTTTAATTAAATATGCAAAACACAAATTAAAACTATTGCTTAGAATAGTATTTAATATCCCTTTGTCCTCTCATCTAAATTCTTTTGGGTCTTTTCATTGGTGAAACAAGGAGTTTAAGGGTTTCACAAAAGTTAAGTCTTTCATTGTCTTTATTTATTACAGACATATGTTATAGAATGTTTCAGGCCTTTTATAAAAATGGACTCTCTCGTATGACGTTTTTTACCGGTGGGTTAGATGTAACATTTTTTCAAGGCTCTCAGGTGGTAGAGAATACATGGCCTGTGTGGAAACGGAGAGACCTCAAGTTATTTAAAAAATATTCTTTATTGTACCCTAAGTCCTCAGAAGCAATTACCTAGCTAAATGAGGCAAAACAATGTTTTGATTTTCAAAAGCTCTGAAGTACAGTGAGGTTGTTGGCCTTGAGCGTCTCTACTAGCCAAAATGAAAGTTCTGCCAGACCTTGGTCAATGTTGCTGGTGGTACAGTCCAGTTTACTCGTAATTTGAATGACAAATGGCGCAGAAAAAGATATTTGCCCAACAATGGACTGTGGGGACTCCGAGCCTTTAGTGGGTGGAGTCTGTTTTGCTTCTGTTGTTTGTGATGTAAATTTTCAAGATTGGCTGTTAACAAGTCCAATCAATTGCCCTTCTGGGGAAGAAATTCTACCTGAGGAATGGTCTGTGCCCAGGTCTGCCTGGAAGACGAGCCTCAGGAGTTCTACAGTGCTCCTATTGCTCATTTGGTGTCCTTTGATCTCCCCTGAAGCAGGGAGTGCGGGTATGTGTGAGGGTCCTTGTCATAAACCCAGCCGCTGTTCCTAAAATGCAAGCAGGTATATCTTCCAAGGGCTCACCTGGGACAGTGAGAGAGCTGGAGGTGGCTGAACTCTCTGTGGGCAATGTCCTAGAGAAGAAACCTCAGTTTCCTACTAGATGGCCATGCCAGGAGGCAAAGCAAGAAGAATTTTTGAGATTGGGGGGTTCAAGAGTAGCTTCACTCAAGATCTTTTGCTGCAACACACTAGCCTGGGCAGCCTGCAGGGGAACTGGACAGCCAAGCACTGTTAATGTGAACTGCAGTGCTCCAAGGAGGCAAGGCCAACTAGCTTGTCCCAGGGTAGGGGTAGAGCTTGCCTTTCAGCCTTCCATCCGCTGCCCCTCCCCACCATAGCTCCTCCAGGCAGACACCTAGCACCTAGATTTGCAGTTTTTCTATGGCTGATGAACATGTCAAGGGTATTTCTGGAAGGCCCTACCCGACAAGACGGTTGTGTAGAACCAGCAGTACTTGGTAGAAGTCCATCTGCCGTCTACTGTCAGAAACTGGCCCCTTAAGAATCATTGTAGTAGCTTCTGTGAGGCTGAGCCCTTTCCCCTGGTCGTTACCAGGCATGCCTTGTGCCAGTGTGTCCCTTAGCCCTTGGCAGTGCCTTCTGCTGGGTGGACTTAGTCCCTCACGTGGTGCGCAGCAGCAGAGCAGCGGTGGAGCCGAATACTGCTGAGGAGTCACCTGCAGCAGCTGGCAGGAGCATTGTTTTTAAAGGCTGCTGTGTGGACAGGTGTCTTCCCGTTTTGGTCCTGTTGTATAATATTGGAGGGTGGCTGGCATTACAACTGGCTACCTATAAGATTTGGTGAAATGCTGGAGGTGAAGAAAATGTTAGCTCCATGTGACAAGGCTCTATTAGGTATTTAGGAAGTGACCATGTTACACAGCACCTTAAGTTAATTGATCATTGAGCCCCAGCACCACCTGTGATGTGGCAGAATGATTAATGCAGTGTTATGCTAGTTTAATAGGAGCAACTGAGCTACAAAACAAAGAGCACTCTAAAGCATACTTATATAGTGGAAGATAGGGCTTGGGAGGTGGAGGGTGGGGTCACGCATTCTTCTACTTAGAGATGCAATTGAAAAACGGAACTGTTGGACTGCCTTTTCTTAATGATTGGGAGTTACAGACGTCCTATCAAACTTGCTGTTCATTTTAATTTTACCCCTGAGAAGTCAGTTGTAGGAAACTACCAATAGACATTTTTTTTTTTTTTTTTAGCCTGCTGCTGCTTTTAAGTCCTAGTGCAGGAAGGCAGAAGTGTTCTAGACTTGCCTTGTGCATGAGTACGTTTATGATGTGGGGCCAGGTCCCTAGCATGACTTGGCTCCTGGGCTCCCTGGGTCAGGTAGGGGCCCTAGGAGCTGAGTATCTGGAGGGAGGCTCCAGGGCTCCCCTCCCCAGCAGGAATGAGGTGTGGGCAGGATAGTCCCTGGAGCCTCCCTCCAGGCATTCTTCCAGGGTGAGTGTGGAAACCTGGACTTTGCCATTTTGTTGACTTACTTGCATGTCTTAGCTTTATCTACTTGTTGCTAATTTGTGTTTGAGCTTGACTTCTGTCTGGGAAAGAGGAGTCCTTATTTCTGATAGTTGTCAGGTCAGTGACCTGATACCTGATATCTCATGTCTCAGTTTCCCTTCATTGGAGGCTGCCACCTGTGTGGTGTGCATGGGAGATAGAGGGAAGGCAGTTTGCTTCCTGTCTGACTGCATCAGGAAGACTTGCTGCCATGATGCCTGTCTTGTCATTACTCGGGATTCCTTGTATTTATTAAGAAATGTGTTAAATTTAAGTTTGTGATAGATAAAAACAAACCAAACTCACTGCTGTCAAGTTGGATCCAACTCATAGTGGCCCCTCCTCGGGTTTCCAAGATGTTATCACTACAGAAGGAACTGTGGTGGCATGGTGCTTAAGGCATTTGACTGCTAGCCAGAAGGCTGGCAGTTCAAACTCACCAGCCACTCCTTGGAAGGAAGATTGGGCAGTCTACTTCTGTAGAGATACAGCATCAGAAACCCAAGGAGGGGGTCGGGGTCCCTGTGAAGGGTCACTATGATGAGTTGAATCGACTAGATGGCAGTGAGTTTGTTTTTGTTAGATAGTTGATTAATTTCTGTGACTTTTGACAATAGACATTCATTCCAGATAAATTTTTTTCTTATACGTATACATATAGATTTACTGAAAAACATATGTGTAGTTGACTTAGGTAGACATCAGAAGACTTTTTTGGCATTTACTTTAGTGAGTTGTAAAAATATATTTTTCATTGAATTCCATTTATTGACTGAGTTTTACTTTATAGGTTCTTTTACTGTTGTTATTTGGGGGGATAAAACATGACAGCATTCTATTTTGGCTATTCTCAAATAAGATTTAGTAAATAATCCATAAAGGGTCCCCTCCCGTCTATGATTTATAACTAAAAATTTGTAAAAGTGGAGGGTGTGTTGTAACTTTACAACTCAGTTCACGAACAGTATTTCTCTTAATTTCCTTTGGGATAAACCAAAAAAACCAAAGTCACTGCTGTTGAGTTGGATCTGATTCATAGAGACCCCTCCTTGGGTTTCTGAGGCCGGATCACTACAGAAGGTTGGGCAATCCTACTTCTGTAGTGATACTGCACTGCCTCGGAAACCCAAGGAGGGGTCGCTATGAGTCAGGGCTGACTCGACGGCACATAACAACAACAACAACATCACTACAGAAGTAGATTGCCCAACCTTCCTTCCAAGGAGTGGCTGGTGGGTTTGGACCTCCAGCCTTCTGGTTAGTAGTCAAATGCCTTAGGTACTACGCCACCAGAGCTCCTTCTTTTGGGGTTAATTTTGGGATGAAATCAGTAGTAAAATTTATTGTCTGAGAATAAGGAGTCACAATATATTTTGCTGGCCTAAAAATAGCTTGTATAAATAACCATTAAAAATGTTTAAGCCTACTTAAGTTTTTGTTAAATCTGCAAATATAATGTTGAAGTCATCATTAAACATATAATATTGAAATTAATGGAGATATACTGTATTTGACTAGCCCTCGCATTATTGGTCTTTGTTTCAGTTAAGAAGCAT